AGGTTCTTTTTGGAAAAATGCCCCCCCGCCCCCCCCCCCCCCAATGTGCTATAAAACCTTCTCTCCTTACTTTATTACCTTGCTTCTAGAAGAGCAGAGAGGGGGAAGGGATAAAAGCATGCCAGGCCAAGCGGCTTTGCTCGCGTTTCCTGTTCACAGTTTTCTATTAAAGACAGATGCTGATGTGAACAAACCTAAATAAACAAACCCAGGAACTGACACAGCAAAGGCAACACCCGAGTGTTTTCTGTTGGTTTTTTGGGTTTTTTTTGAATGATTCGGTTTTTACTCGGCAACAAATGTTCAAGCTCTGAAAGGGCAGCGGTGAAGATGAGCAGACTAGAGATGGCACGGTGGCTCCCAACCATTTTACCCAGACATGGGTAAACTGTTCGCTGCTATGCACCAAAAGGAAATAAAATAAACGTCGCCCTTTCTGCCGCACCGGGGGAGGTGGCCTTGGTGCTCCAGTTACTTGCCTGACTGGTGGTTTTCCTTTACCCCCCTCCCAAATCCTTGCTTCCAAGGTTTTGATTTCTGGTTGTTTGTTCGAAGTACGGATCATAGAGACCAGTCAGACTGGGCCAGGGGAGGATGCAGGGGAAGGGTTTGGCAGTGGTTTTGGTTTTGATGTGATGCGTTTAAGAGGCTTGTGGCGCTTTGCTGGTATCTAGCAGACGGGTCTCTACAGCTCTGGAACCACTGCGCGTGGCGCGCCCCTGCAAAGGCTGCTGCTGCGGCTGCAGTGCTGCTCCCTGAGGGCGGTTTGGTGGCCTTTGTGAGGCCAAGTGGTAGGACTTGGGAAAGGCCTAGAGAGGCAGCGCAGAAACCGCCATCAGCATGGTCCCGCTGGTTGGCACGCTCGGCCGACCCCAACAGTGGAGAGCCAGGCAGCCTGGACTTCTCTCCTGTGTGGACATGGGTAGGGGTCCATGTGGCGGCTGACCCTGCTGTGTTGCAGGGGACTTCAGGCTGCACTGCCTGCCACCCAACCCCTCTGTCTGCACTGGAGACGATCCTGAGCCAGCTCTTCTGGCCCCCTGTCCTTGGGGAGCAACGTTCCCCCCTGCTGCAGGGCCCAGACTAAGGTGGCTTTTGCACGGGTGGTTCAAGAGGAGCAGCTAGCACTGCACTAGCTGTGCCAGGGACAAGGTGCCTTCTGTGGTCTTTTGCCATCCCATTCTTTTTCTGCCTTGGGCATAGGTCATGTGGGGCCCGTGCTGCTGTAACACAGACTTGGGCAGCTGGGACTGCAGCAGCCGTGGGGCCGGAACAGGCAAGCTCCCGGCTCTGCCAAGTACTGGAGAGCCTCTCTGCATTGGAGCTGGGGCAGGGCCTGTAGGGCACAGCTGGCTCTTCTGGACTGTTGGTAAAGGCAGTGGTAGGCACACACGTCTCGCCACCAGCCCAGGGCTCAGAGCAGCTCGTTACACTTCATTTTTGCTTTCCTGGAAGGGCTGGGTGGTGCAGCAGGGTCGCACTAGCTGTGTCCGGCAGCCTGCATCGAGTCCAAGCGTTTGCAAGGCCCGTGGCTGAGGGGTTCTCTTAAGGTTGTTTTTCCAAGTAGTGATTTTGCCCAAACAGCAAAAATTAGTACCCAGCAAAGCCACCTTTCTTGCCGTTCGTTGGTCTCTGCTCAGAGCCTGGTGCACGGCAGGCATTGCCAGCCACGAGCGCAAGAACAATGTGGTGGGATGGGCAGGCCCTGGCGGCATGGCTCTGCCTCGGGCCGTCGCTGTGTCGCTCTTGGAGCAGAACGTTTTCAAAGAAGTTAAAGACAAGAGCAAAATATTTCCTCTTTCCCCTTTGCAAGTTTGCTGCGTGTTGCGATTTTATAGAGCGCGGTGTGAATGTGCGTGCGCATGGGACGTGTCTTCTAAGCGGGTGAGCTGAGGAGTGCTGTCCAGGGGCTAGATCGGGAATCGAGGCTCATGGGTTCTTCTTCCAGCTCTACTGTGGACGTGTTGCGTGACCTTGGGCAAGTCACTTTACCCTCTCTGTGCCTCAGTTCTGCCCATCTGTAAAATGGGTGTCTAATTACCTACCTCACAGGGGTGTTGTGAGGCTTAATTAGTTAATGTTTGTGAAGTGCTTTGAGGTTCACAGCTGAAAGTGCTTTCCAGTGCACAGTGGAATCATGGACTAAATGGAGGGGAAAACGTGATGGTACCATAAATGCTGCTAACCGAGAGTCATTTTTGAACTGCACTGCTCCAGTCAGCCCAGCTTCTCCACAGCCATCGGGGCAAAGCTTTTCCTTTCTCTCCACATCGCTCGCGTGACTCGTTCTGGATTCTGTCTTGGTTTTCTCCATGCTGTATTTGCCCCCCCCCCGCACCTCCTAGGTTTTGCTTCCTGTTCTGTTTTTCCATGAAGGAAAGAGGAGGAAATAATTGGATTTGGGGGAGGGGGGGCAAAAGAATGTAAACACACAAGTGGGCTGGAAGTTCGATGTCTGAACTTTGATTTCCTTTGTACTGTACATCTTTTTACTTTGGGATTTGCAATAAAAGGTTCGTCCATCTTGTTTTACCTCTTCTCTCCGGTGGGGCTGTCTTTGTCGGCTTTGTAACCCCCTGAGCCCTTGCCCCCACCCCAAGTCCCTGGGCAACATTGGTCCATTATGGGGGTGGGGGAGGAAGGGGCTGGTGCCTGGGCAATGCCACTCCATTATGGGGGGGCAGGGTTGGTACCCTGGTGAAGCTATGGTGTCGGGGATGGGAAAGCAGTCCCAGGGCAATGCCGCTCCATAAAGGGGGGGGCAACTGATCCCCACACAATACTGCTCCATTATGGGGGGGCAGGGTTGGTGCCTGGGCAATGCTGTGCCATGAGGGACTGGCGGGGGTGGAGAATCCAGCAAATATCCATGGACACGGCTGCATCAGCAGCCCAACATGGGTCTGCACCCCATGCCCTCCTCCCCCCCAGCACCCCCAGCTTTGCCCTCCCACTGCCTGCCAATGCCTTCCCCAGC